GAACACAACTTAAAATTTTGGTGATGTTCTGGATCACGATGCAGATACAGGATATTTTTTTCTTTTAACACTCTGAGATCGGCAAAGCTGTGATGCTTTCACAGGGCTTCTGTAAAAACAGTGAGCTGGATTGGACAGCACGGACTTCAAACTTTATAAAAGTAATATTAAAACCACATTTAATGATGAATAATTTTTGCCATAAGATGCACATTTACTGAATGTTTTGTGACCAGGAAGTGCGTGACTGCACCATGAAACCTATTTTTCCCATTTCCTCAAACACACCACATTTTTGAAACAACCAATCAAAACAGTTTGTTTCTACTAGGCTTGTAAACAGAGAGCTGCCGGGCCTCAAAGTTTGGAGACGGGGGGAGCCAGGAAGCACTTTATAAAGAGAGTCAAACCATTACAAACTCATACAAGGAGATAAAACAGACGTTTTACATGGTGAAATGTGACTGATGGAAACTTAGGAGATTAATCCCACACCAGTTTGACCATGAAGAACGTCAGGTGAACAGTCTGACTTTTGTTTTTCACATTGGACTCCACCAGAAGAAATCCCATCATACTGCTGCTTAAATGTTCACTACGTCAGAACTTATTCAGCAAATGTGTTTCCATCTCTGCTTTTACACATTAACTCTTACAGGATGGAGGGAATTGGTCTTGGTGGAGGTTTGCACTCTCCCAGTGCTTCTAGTTAGTACTGAAATACTTCAGGAGCTGATTGTTTTTTGTCTGAACATTAAATTTAACTTTAGAATCCCTTTTAGTCCATGACCATGTTCCCATTCATTGGTTTATTTTAGAATCAGTAAATTAATTATTTTGCTAACAGAGTGCACATCTGTGTTCGTACAGATGCCGACCTGCAGATCAGCGAGGTCATGTGGTGGGACAACGGGGTCTATTATTGCAGTGTTGACGCTGCCGGAGACACCACTGGAAACCCGACTGAATATGTCAAGCTGATCGTCTACCGTAAGAATCGTAATTCTTCCTGTTTAGGTTTTTGCACCTCACCCTAAGCGTTTTCTTTTGTTTTGTCGTTATCAGATTGGTTAACGGTGTTGTTCATCATCATCGGCGCCCTCCTCCTCCTCATGCTCTTCTGTATCTGCTGCTGCCAGTGCTGCCCGCAGAAGTGCTGCTGCTACGTGCGCTGCCCCTGCTGCCCCCAGCAGTGCTGCTGCCCTGAGAAAGGTGGGAATCTGCAGACGGATGCTTCAGAGAGGCTCTGTCAGCCAGAGGAGCTTCAGTGAAACTTCTGATTCTGTGTTTTCTGCAGCGGTCATGCAGCACCGTATGATGAAGCAGGCTCAGAGAGCCATGAGTCCCTGGATTGGTGGGCAGCCCCTCTACGCCCCCATGAGCCAGGGCTCCCAGATGAACCCGCTCCTGTACGCAGGGTCCATGTCGGGGAAGAGTGTCCCCTTAAACCCGATGCCTCTCCCTCCTCCTCAGTCTACGGCTTACAGCATGCCTCCTCCCAGCGCCCACGGCTCGGCCAACACCAACCAGATGCTGGATTACCTGGAGAGCCAGGTGCGAAGGATGGACGTGAACACTCCTCTGATGCAGGTACCGCTTTTAACTTTAAATTATAGCTTAATATAACTTTACTGAACTCTGATGTTTTTTGTTTTTACTATAAATACCAAAAGAAGCGCCGTGTGCATCAGGTTTGGTGTGTTTTTGTTGAACACACAGCTAGTTTTAAGGCAGATTCCTCTGCTGATCCTGTGACCCGTCAAAATAAAAGTAATATTTACATCAAAACAGTGTTAGAGGTTAAAATCACCATTAAYATCATCAATAAGAACATCTATTTAATGAGGTTTATATTAGTTTAAAAGCAGAATGAGCTGCAGGCATCTGTGCTTACAAAGATTTATTTAAAGTATTATGTATTATTTAGGAACTGGATAATGAGGTTTATATTAGTTTAAAAGCAGAATGAGCTGCAGGCATCTGTGCTTACAAAGATTTATTTAAAGTATTATGTGTTATTTAGGAACTGGATAAGATCTTTTTGTTTCAAATAGAAAAAAAAATTGTAAATATTTGCTGTCAGTCAGTTTGTAAAACTATCCTTGTTCTCAGAATTTAAATGTTTGAGAAATAAACATTTCACAGCTTCAAAAATAAATGTTTTCTTTAACATTATTAATGTTTTGTTACTTGCAACATGTTGGATTGGGTTTGGAGTTTTTCATGAATGGTAACCATTTGAGACAAAACTTGAATTTTTCAGTGAGTTTGTAGATTTTTGCCTTTTAAATCTTTAAACAACAACTCTTTATTCTGACATTTACTGCTTTTTAAAACGAGTATAATGAATATTTAGCCAAAAAACCCAACAGAGAAATTACATGATGACCCACCTTTCCTGGCCTGTAATTATGTAACGATGCAGAAAAATCACGTTTCATGTTTGCGTC